ATATTAAATATCGAACTTTATGACTTTGCTGTTTCAAATTAAATGGTGACTGAGAGTCACCTCTCGAGTGCAAGGGGTTAACGCAGGTAACCCTGCGAAGAGTAACCCGCTTCTGGGACGGGTACCGACCGCAAGATCGCTGCCGTTCGAATTTAGACGCGGGATTCAAATAGCACGGGATCGATAACTGCCGTTTTTAACGGAATCTTTCGATGGGTATTATTATAATTAGAGCTGGGCACCCGATGGTTATTTCAATTGTGACAAGAACGAAGGTTTCAGTCTTTCGGACCTGATTCTCCTAATTCTTCACGTGTCTGGCAACAATGGGGGCGCAATTGGATGCACCGTTAGTAACGGTATTTCGAATGAAATATTAGTATACCAGTTTTCTGGTAGAAATAGGTTCAACGCGAAGGTCTATGTATAATATAAATTGCTCGTCGCAATTTCAGCTCTGAACGGAGCAACGCCAGTGAGCCATCAGTGGTAGACACCGCTGTAATTTACTCTTCTTCATCTGGCGGCTGAATTCTCGAAACTGATGAGGATATTGAACTGATCGATAAGTCAGTTAATTTCCGAGTATATGACAGTGTTTTCTAATTACTAAACCATTTGACGAACCACGTATTTCACGGTATATGTCTAATGTGACATGAGAAAGTGACCCGTCAATGGTACAAACCGTCTAATCTGATTCACTCTTTCCTATCTAATGGCTGAATTCTCGAAATTGATGAGAATATTGAAATGATCAATAAATAACTTAATTGCCAACTATGTAGCAATGTTTTCCAACTACTAAACCATTCGATGAATCACAAATTTGATGGTACAGATCTATTGTAACATGAAAATGCCAACCATCAATGGTACCACCGCTGTAATTTACTCTTCTCCATCTGGCGGCTGAATTCTCAAAATTAATGAAACTATTGAAATGATCAATAAGTCAATTAATTTCCAAGTATATAGCAATGTTTTCTAACTACCAAACCAGCCGATGAACCACACATTTGATGGTACACGTCAAACGTAACATAAAAATGTCAACTATCAATGGTAGACACCCCTGTAATTTACTCTTCTCCATCTGGCAACTAAATTTTCAAAATTTATAGAAATATCGAACTGATCAATAAATAACTTAATTGCCAACTATATATCAATGTTTTCTAACTACCAAACCATTCGATGAATCACACATTTGATGGTACACATCTAACGCAACATGAAAAAGTGACCCATCAATGGTACCCACCGTCTAACGCAATACCCTACCGCGAGCCACCGCCGGTACACGCCGGCGCGAACGCGTTAATCAAGCCGCTCGTGAAAACCGTGGGAAATCGCGGTGGCATCTAGCCCCTATCGATTACGTTGACGGACTGTTATCATCGAATCGAACGCGAACCGTGTCGAAGAGACACGCGAAAACAAAGAAACGCGGGGAAACTCGACGGGCGCCGCGGCGGGTCGGGTCGTCCGACCCGGGACGGAGCTAGACCCTCTTCCCGGCCGATAGCTACGCGGACGACACGCATGCAATATGCATAAGCCGTGCCACTTCGCGAGCGGTAGCATGCATACCTCGATAAAATAATCGTTCGCGGGATCGACGGTAAATAGAAACCTCCGTTTCCCTTCGTTTTTCTCTCTTCCCTATCTCCGCGCGCGGTAATTTCCGTTAACGATCGTCTCGATACCCGATCGCCGCTATTAACACGTTCCGTGGCAGGTGTGCCATTTACGGTAGACGCGGAATTTTTGCCGGGAAACAGTTGTTAGACGTGTGTCAAAGAATGGTAGCGGGACGACAAAAACCGCGGGGAAATAATGCGGGAGCGTATTAAAAGACGGGGATAGCTCGGAACGTCGGTTAACCTATCATTTAAATAATCAGTGCACTTTATAAGCAAGGCATAACTGAAATTTCTAGTGGCACGGAATGTTAAACGATCGTGCACTATTTATGGTGCACGCGGAATTTTTTCGAGGGAACGTCCGCGAGACATTCGTGTGTCGATGAATGGCAGCGAGACGACAAAAACGTGAGGGAATAATGTGAAAGTATATTAGAAGACGGAGATAGCTTGGATGCAAATTAAGCTATCATTTAAATAATCAGTGCACTTTATAAGCAAACTCATTAATGCACGACAAGAGGTTAAACGGTTAGTGTAATACTAGTGGCAATGATGATGTCGTAATTATCTTTTTGTGCACTGGTGGAATAATTATTCTTTGCTGGTTTTATATTTCTTTAGCATAGTATGGTATAGTGGATTGACAATGATGATATTGTAAATAAGAAAATTAGTAATATTATTATTGTTACTATTTTTACTGTTATTATCACAGTGCTTATTATTGTCGCTATAATACCAGATAACTGAACACCGCGAGACCTTAAAAACGCAACGTGTTGACATGCTCCATGCGACGGGACAATGATTATTCTTGTTAAGAATAATAATTTCCCACAATGCTTCTATTTTCCCATTACTTTTTCTAGTGCTCTCTAATATTTCTTAAGAATTATCATTTTCCACGGTGCCTCTATTTTCCTATTCCTTTTTCTAATGCTCTCTAATATTTAAAAATAATCATTTCCCGCAATGCTTACAATCTGTTTATTAACCCTTCGTGGACGAAGATTCTTCGTAACACACAAAACCTTCAACATATGAAGCTAAATTATACACCAGTTGCTTAATTAATAGAAAGAAAGAATACTACGTGCTGACCTCTTACTGTTCGATTTAATTAGGTCATGTTTCCACGACTTAGTCTTCCAAATCTGAACATTTCATCCGTCCGCAAAGGGTTAACCCATGGAACAACGCATGGGACATCGAAATAAAATAGTTTCGTCAATTTACACAAGGTATTTCCTTATGTCAGTTGTAAAAAGTATCATTGATATCTTATCAAAAATAATGAATATTTCTCGAGAAAAATATTCTCGAGTGCAAAGGGTTGAACAATGTCTGAGAAAAGAACCGTAGCAATAACCGCGACAGAAAAAAAAACGCGAGACCTTGAGGCACGCCGGTCTGTCGCGAGCGACTTTCGTACGGTGGATGGGACCTTTTCCGGTACGAGGAACAACTCGCTGGATGCGCCTTCCGTTTCCCGGAAGCGGCCGTCGAGATTAACGTTCCCGAGCGAAACGTGAATCGAGCGCGCCCGTCCGCGAATCAATGAAACGCGCTCGGATCGTTTAATGGTAACCGCACACGTCACGATTTATCGTGCGACCAACTGGGCCGTGGAACTTCGTTCGATAACAGTTTTCGGACGATCGCGATAACCGTCGATCACCGTGCAAGATTACGCTTTAACAATTTTTCATGCCCTTAACTTTTTCGCTCGTTAAGGTTAGAACTACCGAGCAGTTAACTTGATATTTTGAAATTCCTATGTACAAACTTAAAGAATCTACTGAGACTTTTGTTGATTTAGAATTCTGCTTAGTATTGCTAAATTAGTTTATTTAATTTCTCAGAGAAACTTGTTCTCTTTTTAATAATCGCAAGAATAAGGGACTTTTATTGATTTAGAAATCAGATTGAGTATTGCTTAATCAGTTTCTTTAATCATTTCTAAGAGAAACTTGTTCTCTTTTTAATAATCGCAAAAATAAGAAATCAAGAATGGGTCATTTTGACACGGCTGGTAGTTTTAGTGTCAACTCTAGAATTACTGTAACAATGACTGGTTACCATTTGTTTGTTACGCAATTATTGGTATCTTGAGAGCATTGAATGTTCCAAATGATTTTGAACAGTTGCAATTCGTAGCTAAAATTAGTGAGACTACTTTAGAAAATCTTAAGCCATTGTTTTAAAATGTTTTTTTTTATAATCTGGGAGATGGCTGGTGGCATTAAGCTCAAAGATTATATATTGTACAAGTATACAGGAAGAATGAAAGGAAAAAGGACTCATTACAGTAAATGTTATCGATAATATCAAGTGGAAATTGTGGTAATATCGATAATATCAAGTGGAAATCGCTGTAGTTCCACAGTGCCTATACCTGAACCACTGATTTTGAAAATAGTTTCCTTTGAATACTATAACGAATATCTGAAGAAACCAAAAATAATGTATTATTACAATTTTTATAGAATGAAATAAAAGCTGTCCAAACTATTGATGTTTATAAGATATTTAAAAGATCTTGAAGTCTGAAAGGAAATACTTGTGTTATAATATTTCAACCCCTATTATTTCCAATAAATCATCGTCAATTGCCAGTGGCCACTGCTAATTAAAATAATGATAACAGTGCAATTTGATACGTGGAGAATATATACTTCCAAGGAACAGTAACCAAGTACGAATTTCGGGGAACCGAGTCCGGTGACAGGAAGCCGAAAACCGAGGCGGTAAATTTGATTCGTGGGAATAGTGTCTTGGTACTTCTACAAGTTGCGCAATTAGTTTATTCCCTAGAGCAGCGGCAGTAAAAAATTTCATAACACTTTTCGATCAATAATCAAGATCAATAATCCTATTTCTAAAAACTAGAGAGACCACAAAAGAAGCTACAAACTGCACGAACAACCTACGTTCATTATCAATAATCAAGATCAATAATCCTATTTCTGAAAACTAGAGAAACAGCAAAAGAAGCTACAAACTGCATGAACAACTTATGTTCATTCATTACCAATAATCAAGATTAATAATCCTATTTCCAAAGACTAGAGAGACGACAAAATAAGCTACAAACCGCACGAACAGCCGGCGTCCGTTTATTCGAACGTCACGTCTACGTGGGAACGCGCTTGCTACATCGCAGAATTGCGTTATGTTTATGTTACGTCCCATGCGGCACGACAGTGCACCGGCGTCGACCGCTAAATGAATAAAGAGACCGGCGACACGAGGGGGGGTCGTTTGCCGACGTTAAAAACCGTGCAGGTTGAACGGTGGTGCACCGATGCAGCATGAAACGTCCCATAAAATATTCACGGTGCATCGACTCACCTTTGGTCAAACCTGACGCGTCCAGCAAACTCTCATGTTCTCCGGAAGTGTATCGCGGTCACCGGCACTCTCGTGCACCGGGTCAAGTTCATTCTCCGCAGCACGACGGAGCAATTTGTCGATCGTCTTCACCAGCGCGCGACGTGGATCGTCCGGCGACACGCGGTCACATTTTGATCGCACGCGCGTTTTATCACTCTCATCGGACACGGCACGCGACTCGTGGATGAAGCGCCTGGCCCTCGCGCATCACTACCGCACTCCGCGACGCGCCAACTGCGAATGACCACGAGCACGAGATACGTCGCCGGCCTCCCACCGTGCCGGCTCTGTGTACAAGCCGAGGCGGCCAATCAGGGGACCGCCCCATGGTCCGATCCTGACGCGCCATCGTTTTCGCGCCCTGCGTCACCTTGTCGACAGCGAGTAACCTGTGCATCTGCGTTGCCGATCGTCGGTATACGTGAGATTTGAATCCTTCGGATCTTCCATTAGGATTGCAATGATCTTCGATGACTAAAAAAAGGAATATTGTTAGAATAATGTCAAAGAGGTTTTGCAAAACTATGAACATAGAATTAATGAATTACTTGTATGATAACCTTTGGAAGATGCAGCAAACCTGAAAATTATGGAGATTTTTGAATTCCTTAATGGAAGAGTAGTTTTTCATTAAATGCTCTACCTAGATTGTCAATTAATGAGTTTGAACGGTGGAATTTTTGACAGATCGGTTTGATTTGCTTTAAAATGTATTGTAGATTGAACGGTCGCACGATTGACGGTTAAAGGGCAGCCGATTGATTGAGATCGATAATATTTAACGGGTGTACTGACTCGTTTAATTATAGATTAATCACGGAGACGACGAGAGCCGGAAGAACGAAGTGTACTAGGAAGGAAGACGGGCTGTTCCGCAGCCGTCGGTAGATATATGATAAACGAAATGGAGATACATATATAAGGTGGCGCGGTGGCATGCACTCCGTGGTAGAATTATGGTGCAAGCTGTAGGCCGCGCGTTCGATGTGCTCGTGCTGACTGCACTCCTGACGCTGCTGTTCGTCGATCAAGTAAGGACTTGGACGAGGAACTCGACTTCTCTAATGATGCAGCCGTCGTGTGTACCGCTGCAGCATGCTATAGCCCCGTAGAATGTTAGCGCATATCTCGTGTACCAGTGTCTCCTTGTTCTATTCTGCCCGACTCCGAGGTCGATCAATACGTCGGTTTTACGCACGGTTCGGCCGTGTCTAGACAATGAACCCTTGTCCGCTGTATTTCTCGTTCATGCGTAAGTCTTTCATCCACGTCCACTTATTTCTCAACGATAAACTCGCCGACCGTCTCTTTAATTTCCGTGCGAGCTGTCTTTGTGCGCGAGATATTCGTCCTCTTCCTCCGTGCATCCCTTTTCTCGCGACGAAAACAATCCCTTCCCGTTCCGGATGCTCTTCAACGGGCTGCGAGACCGTCCGTGGATCTTTTCTCGTGACTCACCTACGGAATACAAGAGTTAATCGCGGTCGCATGCTGTGTATAATTGCTTAATTTCTGTAAAATACGTTTGAAACTTATCTGAATCCGTTTCTTCCGCTTCACTGAGATGTCTTCTTTCGTTTCAAGGTTTCCTCTAGGCTGTGCAATGGGGGGCATGTGTAAGTTCTTGACATATTCTGTCGTTGAATCTGTTAGAAGAGTCTGGAGGTGTGACAACTTAATTTTGCGATTACTTTTAGCTGCTCTCCTCCAAAAGAGTGCTGTTCCTTCGGCTGTTGTTACGGTGTATTCCAATTGCACTCTACATCAGACATGTTCAATTTCTTGATTTGGACTTACTGGTACTTATGGTCAGTGCTATAAACTATGCGTCTTGGATGTGTCTGGAAGCTATGTTAAAAGCATGTTTCGCACTCTTCAGGGCAGCAGTACTTATAGGATTGGCTATAGCAGCAGCATGCGGTTGCTGGCTATGGAGACGCCATCGCTCTGTCATGGTGGAAGATTGTGCTTCTTCTGACAGAGCTTCCACAGGCCCTTGGTATCCATCTCCGCATTACAGCCACTGCAGTTCCTTTGTCCAAGCGCTGCCACCCCCTTACAATGAGGTACGCATAAGAAATCCTATGTTTCATATAAATTCGTCTATCCTATGCTGACACGCTTGGTGTTTCAGGTTACAGCCAAGCCAGATCTGTACCCCTTGGTAATTGGGTATGACGAGGGAACTGGCAAAGGGACTTCAGGGTTTGTAATGCGTTACTTCAGATCGCTCTCACAGGCCAGCACACTGGATTCCTTAAGTTCCAGTTTCATGTGCAACATGGTGAATGAAGTGAACACCATAATTCCACCACCATACTCTTGTAACAACAGCGCCGACGAACTGTCAGCAGTGGAGTGCGAGAGAATGGAAAACATGGATGTTGGGTCTGTTGTTTCGTTGGCTAATCATAGGACAACGTCTGACATATCGAGTTTAGCTGCTCAATCTCCGTGTTCACCGCCGCGGGCTACTAGTCCAACGATAGAGGTACTAACCCAACGTTCCAAACATTCACTCAACAATCACAGGACAGTCCATTTCAATCCATTAACACTAAAACGACTTAAGACTTCAATTGATTTACAATTCAGTTTGCGTATTGTTAAATGAATTTCTATAATACTTCCTCAGAGGAACAAATTGCTAGTTTTAGTGTTAATATAACCAGAACATTCGCATCAACCCCTTGCCATACAATCACAACCGAGACTCCTGATGAAGATTTCTAGACTAATTTAAGAACAATTTAAGAAAAAGCAAAAAACTATTATCCTATTATCAATATATCATCCCCAAATGAAATGTCCACTTCAAGTAGAACAGAAAATTTCCTTACATTTCTTCCAAATTGTCAATAGCAAAATAGCAAAGGTAAATAGTACGCCAAGGGGTTAACAGATTGAAATGGAATTGAACGACCTGCCAATAACGTTTCAATGACCATCTAACGAATGACTTTGTCCGTCAGTTACGCGAACTTCTAGATAAAATTCAGCAGCTGCCACAGCTACCCAGTGGGCATAGCACCGTTTTGCCTTGTTATCAGAATCGACCGCAAGTTTTATGTACGACGAACGGGAACGGCTCTACGCAACGGCCTCTAAGTCCGGGTGACGTTATCGGATCGCACAGAGAGAGGAGGATGACGCGAGGGAAGATGTACATGCCCCTAGGGCTTCCAAGCTCGAGGAACAAGACGAAACGATGGCTGTCGCGTTCGGCGCCGACGACGCCGTCCGGCACGATACCGATGTCGTTCCTCTCGGTGCAGAGCAGGCGGCCGTCTGAAACGGACAACAATAATCAGCAAGTGGTCCCGTTGCTCTCGGAACAGGACGAGACGGAGAACAATAACGTGGATCAGACAAACGGCATTCCGTTGCTGTCCGAGCAAGAAGAGGAACCGCAACAGACATGACGGCGAATCGTCTGAGCGTGTCGAGAAACGATCGATCGAGAGACGATCGGTCGTCGAACGATCGGATTCCGGAATGTCGTTGCCCCGAGTAACCTGTATATTTTTTAACATGGCTGGTCAACTCCTCGCCGCAGTCTCGAGCGAAAGAGTGTATGCATTAATGTTCGCCAATTAATTTCGTCCAACGAAAAGCAAACACCGCCTCCCTTTGCTCTTAGGAAGAAAACAAAGAAAAGAAAAAATAAGAAGACGAAGAAACGACTCGACGCTGTGATTTCAGTTTGCGCGCGCGCGCGCGCTCGCGCGTCTACAGCCACCGCCACATAGTTGACACAGTTTCGTTTCTCTAGCGAGTCTAACCTACTCTTTGCGAGCCGAACCGGAATCTAGCGATAAATGATGATAACAAAACGTATCTCTTAAGCTCTGTGGAATAGCTTGCAGTTTAACTTACAGAAAAAAAAAGAAACCACGGACACCTTCTTCTCCCGAGGGACACGTACCTTTACGAACAGTTACCGACGATAGATAATTATTACGTAGGCGATCTTCGAGCCCGGCTTGTTCTCGATCTCGATCGACAACCGTGCGTATTTGATACATCGAATTTCATTTTCGCGCGACTCGAATCGAACATCGCGGATACCTTATCGGCAGCGACGCGAACGCTTCCTATTTACCGCGTCGAGTGCCGCGGGGTCACCGGTGACCCAGGTCGAATTAGTAGAACGCAGTCAATTAAACGATCATTGTTTGCGGATATTTTTATATTATAAATAACGCTGTCTAACGCGAAAAAACGCGAGATAATGAAACGATTCGATGAAATAATTTGGTATCACATTTTTGTTTTGTGCTTTTGAAATCGGCATTCGACGCGTTAAGTAGCTGTGATCACCGAAATCGTTTCCGTCGATTCACGCGCTTGAAATCTTTCGATCGAACGAGGAATTTCAAAGGGAAACCGTTGGATTCGAAGGGATGGATTCAGGGTCACTTAAGGTCATGGAAATCGGCCTATAGGAATGTCTCTGCCTTTGGATCGAATGATTTCCTTTTTGGATCGTCTTGTCGAAACGGAAATATTTTTGGCGCGAATTCGAGGAACGACGCGCAATGGCGACGTTGATCGCCGCGACGCACTAGACGCCGATAAGGTGATAAGTTAAGTGGGAATACCTTAGTTGTTGCATCGATGAGTTTTAATCGTACACAATAATACAGCGTCCATCCAGAAGCAGCCAGCCAGTACGAAGTCGAGGACAATATGAATATGCACGTGTTTAAACGGAACGAGGAGTGAATGGAACAGCGACACACTAGAAAAAAAAAGATAAAGAAAGAAAGAATAAGAAGAAGAGAAAAATTGTTTCGACGTGTCAACGTACAATATCAATTCCGTCGAGCGACAGGGAAGCGAGAGGATTTCATTGTAAACGGAGACTTATCACGAGCACAACGATTACAATGTCGTTATTAAGTAATTTTAATGCGAACGATGCGAAGTATTGATAACGTGAGATGAGAATCGATACAGGCGCCGTTGAGTCCCCATTCATAATCATAAGGTTTCAAACAAGAACATTTGTTACAACCGATCACAGACTTTATTCTTAAAGACGTAACGAGAAATCGGTCACACCGGGAAACTGTACCGCGCGTCATTCACGTACACACCATGTATTAACGTGTATTTTTTTATAAATCAAAATACGAAATAAAATGTCCAAGCTTTTATGAGATCATTGCACCTGTTACCGTGTAATCCCGTCGTTGCTGTCCGAGCCGACGACCGACGTTATTAATAAAGATGTTGGACATATCTTTATACCTCACGCGCAATTCTTCCTGGTCCTTTTCCCCGTGATTTTTCAGAGGAACGAACGTCGACGGAGCGGCTCGTCTTCGGTCGGTGCGCAGTGAACGAAGGCGCTGAACTTGGAACGAGAATGGAAAGCGCGGGAAAGCGTCGAGTATCGATATTTCGAAAGAGTCGGGCGCGAGGCTAACCTAGAAATCGAGCGCTGATTTAAAATGCGACTTGTTTGTGTGCTGGCTCGGTAACGCGACGTTCCTGTTCTCTGGAATAATAAACCATGTCTGTGAGTATACGGGGGAGTGTTTCTAGTATTTTTTTCAAAGCGAATTCAATCGTCTGACCGGTACGTTTCTTTTTGCAGGTGCCAAAACAGGTAAACGTTTGTTGCAGCGACGACGTAACCTCAAATCTGTGCTCAACCTTTTGTGTTTCTTGTAGCAACAGAATGCTCATGGGGAGCCCAAAGAGAAGAAAAGGAAGGAAAGTATTCTCGACCTGTCTAAATATTTGGAGAAGAACATTAGGGTGAAATTCGCAGGGGGGAGAGAGGCTGCTGGGATACTGAAGGGATACGATCCTCTTTTGAATCTGGTGCTGGATAACACCACGGAATATCTCAGGGGTAATTCAGCGAAAATATTGTATCACATTGAAGATCTGCATTTCCTTACACAGCTATTTCTGTTGTTAGATCCTGATGATCCCTACAAGCTGAATCAGGACACCCGTATGTTAGGTCTGGTCGTGTGCAGGGGCACGTCTGTGGTACTTATTTGTCCAGTGGATGGAATGGAGTCCATTCAGAACCCTTTCATACAGCAAGAAGGTTAATCGAATCCACTCCTCCATTAATTAAGGTTTTTAGCATTTAAAGGAACATAATCTTGCGGACACTTGGATCCACACAACGCAACGGCAGAAAACTTTTTGTAATGGAAATGGACGTAATTTATTTGACATGTGATCTATGTAAACTTATACAGTAAATAGATATGTTTTTCTTAGAAGATACGCGTGCAAGTCTTTTACGAATAAATAACTCCATTCTCCCGCGTAAAGTACAGGCATAATTTAAACATGGCAATGTAACTGGACGCCCCCGCGGGACTCACTCTAAACCGAACTCGTTCCTTAACCATGGATACTCTTTGGGACACTCGAAACAGGTGTGCAGGTACCGGTACGACTTCAACACTCTGCTCGGTAATTTACAACTACTAGGTAAATCGCAGGCGACTTCGTACGCCTGGAGTTGACGCGAGCCGCATTGCCACAGCCTCTGGATCTCGCTCAACGGTGTTGGACTGCGCATCCACTCGATTACTTGATGACTCGTCACAAAGTACACGTCGTTCAATTTGAGGACATCGTCCATGAATTTCTACAAACCACAGAGTAGAAAACAGTAACATCCAAAAAGTGAAACGAAGTGATCATACGGAAAACAAACAGCTAACCGTGAAAGCGTAAAAGTACATGGAGTTCTGAAACCACGAAGAGTGAAGGTGCAACCCAAACGGTGCGCGATTGCTAAGGTAATGCCTCTTGAAGTTCAGCATCAGAATTTTGTAAACGTCCTCCGGCGACAGCTCCGACGTGCACGAGTCCAGCCTTGTGCAACTGTACTCCTAACGCACAAACAATTAACTGTATTTCATTGTTATTGCGCCGCAGGCCCTGTACGATATTTTCAGCGGGCCGTTTAAACAAGAGTACCATTGCGCAACGGGCCGGCCATGGCTACGTACACCTGCCAAAAGTTGATTTAATGGTAGTTCCCAGAGACCTGGATACGCGCGAGTTGGGCAAAGCTGCTCGGTACCCACGCAATCGTGCGGTGCCTTGTGGTCCAGCGTGTACGGCCACAACGGCGGATCAGAGAAAGGAGCCAGCATCGAGGAGTCGTACACGAACCCGAATTCCGACATCATTAAAAATTGGCGGTTCCAACCGACGCGTAGGAACGGTGCTCTTAGACCTGTCCAACGTTCAAGGATTCTCAAGTACCAACATGCATCAATTCTCAAGGACGTTTCAACACTAGACTACCCAGCTAAAACGACCCATTCTTATTTTTTCAATTATCGACAAGGTAACACGATCAAACGATCTGACAGATCATTAAAGAAACTGATTTAGCAATATGCCAACTGTAAACCAAGCGAAGTCTCGATAGACTCTCTGTTTTTATAGACAAAAAAGGGAGTTTGACTACCCGGTAGTTCTAGTGTTACAGTCATCGAGTTACCTTTGATGTCTTTCAGCCGGACCGCAGCGAACTTGTTGATGATATTCGCCACGCCGACCATCTCGTCGAACCAGTCCTCTATAGTCGCGTTCTTGGCCCACCAGTCTTCAGGTCCCCGGTGCCTGCACATTTTAATTAAGCTAACCACCGGGCGAATTCTATCCGCCGCTGAAAAACGAACACTCACGTGACGGAATGCGCCGCAATCTCGTGCCCGACGTTCCACAAATATTGCACGTCCCTGTAATTGGTGTACTGGTGGCTGATGTAGAAAGTCCCTCGTGCCGGACACCCGTTGGGATTTTTCCTGTCTTCCGAAAATATCTCTGCGAAGCGACACCGGCGATCAGATAAGATCAGCTTTCTCTGACGTGTGAGAGAGTAGGACGACCGAATTTTATTCGACTAATTAACACGTTGAACGCCGCAGGATTTTGTAGGACAAAATACAGAATGGAGAAGATATGAATCATTTGATTGAATTATTACTGCACGTTCATCTAGCTGAATGTCACCGCATCAGGTAGCATTGTTTATAATATATGTTTAACCACTTGCTTTACAATATCGTGTCAGACCCGCGGAGAAGATGTCTAATGTGGTTTAACAAATATAAACGTCATTCAGTTCTTGAGTTTAAATGAAACATTTCTCTTGTTAGTTCTAAAGAACTATAGTAATTCGGTTTAGGTGGGGGTCATCGGTGACCCCCATGGCGTTCAACGTGTTAACTAGACAGCTTTGCTCCTTCAAAACACACACTGGATATCTAAGTAGATATCTACTTGTAGAACACCGCGTGCTTACTAGAGTACAGCTCAAAATTCTCTGCATTGACCGCGTCGTCGAAGGTGATCGTTATCATCTGCGGGACAGCCGTCGCCGTCAAGTTGCCTGGAATTAGTGTACCGTCCTCGGAACACCAGCAATCCGGCAGCTGGCATTTCTTTGGGTCACAGGGAGGCGCTCCGTTTGGATCGTTCCGGACGTCTGTGGATTAGGTCACTAGATTTTTTGATGATCTTGGATGAGGAGATAATAACTCATTTACTCCGAAATTTCTTACCGCACCAGCCTTCGTCCGACCCGTCAGGACAATCGACGCTTCCGTCGCAGAAGTAGCCGGCTGGGAAGCAGGTGCCATCACCGCAGGCAAAGTGCTTCTCTTCGCAATCACCTTTCTCGAGGAGCGGCCTAGGTGGCTGAGTCTCTGTAACGTTTCAAACCAGTTCCCAATCATCTTGTGTTGACCTTTACATACCATTACTTATACCGTTACATAATATATTCTATCTATTGTATTTAATATATTCTTATTATAGATCTTGGTGACTGGGTCTCTGTAACGTTTCAAACCACTTTCCAATCATCTCATACTGATCTTTGCATTCCATTACTTATACCGTTACATAATATTATATTTTATTTATTATATGTATTATATTTTCATTATAGATATTGGTGACTGGGTCTCTGTAACGTTTCAAACCAATTTCCAATCATCTCATGCTGATCTTTGTATCCCATTACTTATACCGTGACATAATATCATATTTTATTTATTATATGTATTATATTTTCATTACAGACCTCCATCTTTATTTTTCCACCTCTATCCTCTTGTACCACTACTATTTATACTTTTCACTCCATCCAACTGAAGGGGCGAATATAGTAAGAGGACACAGAGCACAGTTTAACAAAGTCAGAGAATCCATATAACAGTCAGCGCGAGACTTCAAAGCGATGCAATCCAGATTGCTAAGATTGTTCCTATTAAAATAAGTCCAAACACGATGTAAATCACCACTTTGATCATCTTTAAAGAAATAAACCTTCAATTTTGTTAATTACATTCAGTCTGTGAAACTAGTCCATTCCCATCGTTTGTACTTATTTTTATAAGATTACCACAGTATCCTATTGTAAACCAATCTCTTGGATATCTAAGTTCGAACAAGTATTGACGAAAGTGGCGAAACGTAATTAAAAGTAAAGATTAAAAATCATGAAACTGATGTGTCCTTTATCGCATGTTTATATTCAACGCATCGCTTTGAAGTCTGTCTCACTAACGCTAAATTCTCCAACATATCAAACGTCAGACAAGTGAAAAGACATCAGCATACAATAAATCATTACACGACTAATCATCAAGCTACAAAGACGCCTAAGTTCTCCAAGCATCCACGTACCGGAGGTGACGTCGCAGTTGTCAACGTTCGCCTTGAAGTCGCATATCTGCCTGGACACGTCGAACAGCAACCCCTGCGAGCACCGGAACTCGAACACCTCGTTCTCTGCGGGCAGAGATTAGCCAATCAAGGAAGGGAAGTCGAGGGAGACGATCAAGATGAAAGTGGAGCGCGATTACGAGGCAATTACCCAAGCAAAGATAATACTTGGCGCACTCGGCTGGCGACCAGACATCGCGGGCCGGCGCGTTCGGATTCCGATAGAACTTGTGATCGTCGATACACGGCGTCCCCGCCGCCGATTTCTCTTTCCCCCGTGCGGCCAAACCTGAAATACAACACAAAAACGGAATCGATCCGCGCGGTTCCTCTGCCAGGTCCGGCTATCTTCGTCGCGCGACTGGCCGCTACAGAAAACGCTAAATAAGATACGAGCCACCCGGTGCGTGGCCCGTGTCCGCTCCAACTTCGACATAGAGAGGAGCGTCCTAGCCAGGGGTTGCGAACGGTTGGCATTTCGGTTCCGGTTCTTCGTTGGGGAACGGAAATAGAGGGGCCATTGTTAACCCTTTGCACTTGAGCGACTAATGGTCGCTATGATTCAATAGAGTAAGATTGTACAATTGAAAATTCTATTATAAATTTTCTAATGTATCAATATGTGAAACAAAAATAGAATAGTTCTGTCTCTTAATCTGTGTAAAATTTTTCTTACTGTTTGATTCAATAGAGTAAGATTGTACAATTGAAAATTCTATTATAAATTTTCTAATGTATCAATACGTGAAACAAAAATAGAATACTTCTGTCTCTTAGTTCATGCAAGATTATTCTGTAGCTTAGTTGCAAATAATGTTATCGATACTTCATCAGAAAAAATGTTACCACAAAAATGCTATTACAAAATAGCTTATTACATCAAATATTATCGAGTGCAAAGGATGAATAGGCTCCTGTCGGCTCCTCGGAACCAATGCAACACGTGTTGCATCGATTCTACTATTTTCATTTCAGCTGTAGCTCGCCTCTGCGTAATATACATGTGTAATAGACTTTGCAATCCTAAAATAACGATGTATCAGTTACAAAGTATAGTCATTATAGCCTGTATCAGATTGTAACATATGAAATAGCCGACTCGCAGAACTAGCTTCAAACGAACACCGACTCTGTAGCAATCAGTTTCTTTCATAAATACATTCTCCAATTAGTTTCTAGCTCTTTCATTCCATTTCTATAAAGATCCGGCGTTCTAGCATTAATAAATCTTTTGAAACTGTCATTCGTCATTATTACTAGTTTCACAGACTAGAATGTTTAAAAAGTTGAAAATCTCAGCGACAAATCCAGCGAACACGAGAGATGAATTTAGATCAAGCGAAACAAGGTCAATTCCAAAACATTAAATATTTCTCGTTAAAACAGAACGCAAAGTACTAATCAACTAAAATAAGACGTTCCACGCGTTACAAGCTAACACATAATTAAATTTCTCAACCGCCTATGTTACGCGTCCACAGGCAGAAACGCAGAGCCGAAGAGCAACAGTTACAGAGCCGACACAGAAACAATATACTTAACAACAATTACAGCTATTTCAGTTGGCCAGAACCGTTTCATCGGGAACCGATACGCAACAGTTCGAAACCGTTATTTTCGGAAGCTTCTGAATGGCCGTCGCTGGCTGGACTAGCTCAGAGGAACCGCTCGCTCGTAAACGTCTCTCTCCCGACACTGAGACTTTCACGATCCCTTTCGTCGGGATAATCGGCTCGAGAGAAATCCCCGATGTTTTCACCGGCTCGCAAAAAGAAACGCAAAAAGAGACGGAACAGACGCGTCCTGCAGTCACGGTAACACGCATAGCGAATGTCCTCTGCGGACTTCCGCTTCTTTGACCGCTGAAATGCACGCAGCGACACTTATTTTTTGGTCTTCCTTTTCTCTCCCTAGTTCGTTGGTTGACGCTAAAACTACCATTCTTGATTCCTTCTTTTTATAATTGTTGAGAAGATTGATGTCTCTGAGAAATGGTTGGAGAAATTGATGTAGAAATACTCGAGATGAATTGTTAACAGAACTACCAGTCAAAATGACTGGTTTCGATTTGTTTGTTTAGCAATTATTGATATCTTCGGAGCATTGAATATTCGAAATGATTTTGAAAATGAATAGGTTCATTTCAGTACTATAATGAATGCCTGCAGAAACTGGAAATAATCTGTTGTTACAATTTTTATAGGAAATGCATGTTAATCGTATTAAATGCTCGGTAGTTCTAGTGTTGATCTATTTGAATTCTCTGTAGGTGTATTCTTGGAGTTTCTACGGAGGAATTTCAAGAAGTCGATGTAACTGCTCGGTAGTTTTAGTGTCAACTTTTTGCACTGTGAATTTCTTTTGTATCTTTCTCTCGATCACTCTGTATTAGGAACGCACTTTGAGAGACTTTGAAAGACTGATTGTTTGACATTCCGTATCACAGAAATTGCGGTTATATCTTGCTTATAGAGTTTTTTAGTGTATTTTAGATGATCTTTTTTAGTGTACCACTATTTTTTGACACATGTCACAACAAAAATTCCGCGTGTACCGTAAATGGTGCCACGTGTTAACCCTTTGCGAACGAAGATCCTCTAAAGTATCCAAAACCTTTCGCAGATTCTGCTAAATTAGATATCGAACTAGAAACCATACAATTTGATATTTAATTTGATTTGGTTGGGAGTCATCAGTGATCCCCATAGCATTCAACGTGTTAAATCATTCGCTCGCAACTTGCTATTACAAACATCAAAGTTTGATCTCGTCGTAACGTAGATATTTGTCCAAAGGATTAACCCTTCAACATTTCGACAGAATGAAATTGCCATGTTTCAAAGATTAAGTCGCAAACAAATGACTGAATCACTCGAACAGCAAGAGATCAGTGCGCTTCCTCTTGTTTCTATTTAAGCAATCGATATATAGTTTCGCTTCATCCACTGGATGTTACTTGTATTTCAAAGAATCTTCGTCCGCAAAGGGTTAATCACACACGCGTGCGAGGGATGCGCGACGGGACTCACCGGAAAACGCGATCGCGACGAGGATCAACGAGCGCAGCGTCGGCCCCATGTTCGATAGCCGAGCGAAACCTTCCGTTTCTCGTTCCTCGTGCGAGAGCTGGCACTTTCCAACTGACACCTCCCTCCAGCAGCGTGCCTTATATGATGAGCATTCGCCTTTGCCCGGCTATCTTCCGCAGCCGTTCATTTTCACTGACCGCCGATCGGGGAAATCTGGATCGGCCGGTCGACGGGGACTCGCGTGACCGTCGACGACAACGTCGCGGCCCGTCGCCGCGCGGAAAACTTCGCGCGACGGTGCGCAAGGAAACCGCGGGATTTCATCGTTTCCGTCCCGGTGGAACGGAATTGCTCCCGCAGTCGATTCGCGAACGAGTTTGAATTTTATCTTTCGAAAGTTTCCGTTGGGCGCTAATGAACTCGCCGACGGGGTCCTCTATTTTTCTGGTGCTCTCTGTCACGGTTATTAACGCTGTTATTTGAAAGCCTGTCATAGAGTTTGAGTTTAAATCATTGGTAATTGTTGAGTATAATTAATCTTGACATTTGTTATCTTGGATATGGTGAAATGCTGCCATAGGAACTATGATCTGACATTATTGGTAATTAGTGGTAATTATTGAGTATAATTACTCCTGATACTGGTTATCATGGAGACATTGGTATCTGAGGCTATGGTAAAAGGCAGCCATAGAAATTATGACTTTAAATCATTGATAATTGTTAAGATAATTACTCCTAATATTATTTATCTTGCATACCTTAGTATCCAAGTCTATAGTAAAATTACACTTAACAATTATCAATAATTTCGAATCATAATTCCTATAATTACTCCTGACTTCTAATAATACTACATGAAATGCTCCCTCAACACGTTCAATGCCACATGTACCACATACATTACACGCCAATGTCCCTAAGAAAATATTTTCAAGAGACACATGGTCAAGAATAACAGTATACATTACAAAGCACCGAGAACATAAAGAAACATCAAAATATAAATTCCCAAAAACTCGAATATAACATTCTCTTTAAAAACTCAATACAATTCATAATCAAAATACAATCAAAATTTCGTTATAAATATTTTCTCACAGAAATTGTACCATATATAGTACACGTGGCACTGAACGCGTTAAGTATGTCGTACCACAATAATTCTCGTCGAAGGGACGCAACGGAGGCGACGAACCGGAAGCACGTTGCCTGCCCGACAGCCGGCACTGTCGCCGAGGAAAGTTCCCCGCGTGACGTAGCGGAGGGCGAGACGCAACGGGGGGACCGGCCGGTATCCGTGGAAATCGCTTCTCCCGGCCGCGAGAGGAGAGGAGCCGTCAGTGTCCGGCGAGCGCCAAACGGACCGGCTGATGCAATCGCGTAAAATTGGTATTTTACAATAGACACTGTTCCCCGGTCCCTGTTTAGACGTTCGGTTCGCGAGAAAACAGGCCGCGTTGCCGGGGATTTCAGAAGGTCGAGGCTCGTAATCGCCGCGCAGTAATTTTCGTCGACGCGGCGCTTTAATCCGTTCCAGATGGGTCCACGGCCGGTCCGCAGGTATATTTAACGGCGTCCTCGGCTCCTCTGGTCTCCGGAGAACCTGTGCTCCGTAGCGGCGCGTCGCGCTGGCCTTGAACATTGGTCTCACAGCGAAATCAATGTCACGGTCGACGCTCCCCAGTTTCTTCTTGATTCCTAGAGACGCGCGGTCGCTTCTTTCACTGGCGAACTCGGGAAACCTTTGTGAACAGGGGTTGCAAGCGTTAGAAAGTTTTAATACTTTATAAAGAAATACTTAATATTTTTTACCTAGACAAAGACAATATTTTTTGAAGTTAACTTAGCACTAGAACTATTGAGTAGTTGAATTGACTTTTTGAAACTTTTCTGTAGAAACTTGAAGAGTGCATCTATTGAGACTAACCCTTTACACTCGAAAGCGTTTCACTGGAAATATTTAACATCTTATTTGATTTAAATATTTCCTATAGCAGTACAAAGTTTAATCTAAAATACTAAATATTCAACTTCATAGTTTTACTGTAACAAATCAAGACTGAGAGTCACCTCTCGAGTGCAAAGGATTAATAGGTTTATGCACTTGTATAATTTATACTGCTGTTCCTATAGAGATTGATGTTTGTTCGTTTGAATCTTTACTGTTAGCAGGTTAAAAATAAATAGGTAAGATATATATTCGTGTTGTTGCAGCAATTGAAATCAACATAAACACTTACCAAATAATGTTTATAAAATTCAGTATATATGGGATTAACGCATTCCGTAAGCCTAATGTTAATTATTAGTAAATAAGAAAATCCTGTGATGGTTTCTCGTTTGTTCATTCTATAGGAAATTCTTCGATTGCAACTTTGACGACGCTTGTCCTCAAACAATTAGATTGATACTCTGATCTCCGTTGTTACCTCTTGCGATTCGAATATACGAGACATTTTATGCTTCCGAATTGATATTCTGGCAGCACGTTCAGCGAGCATTCTCGTTCCTCGTGTATTAGCTTGTGTATAAGTTGACGCACGATGACAACGTGAAATGTCTAAAAATATAAAAAAATATGAACACAGCGTAGACTGTAGGCGATCCGGATAATCTTTCTAGAATCAACGCCGGCCAAAGATTCCCCAACAAATCTCTCAGTGTCATTATGAAACCGCCTGTATCATTTCCTGCTTCCCTGTCTGCGCTAGAGTACTCGCGCTTGTTTACCTTCGATTTCATTCTCAGTCTGCCATTACATAATTTCATTTCTCTTCTCGCTCCACATTCGCCGACGCTGCATTTAACGCTAGAACTACCAGATGGGCCAGGATGACCCATTTCCTGTTTCCCTCCTTTACAGTCATCAGAAAGACACAAGATGCTTCCTTGAGAAATTATTAAACAAGTCGGCTTGGTAACACCTAAACTCAGATATAAATTAGATAACATCTTAACGATAGATTATGGTGCCTCGTTCTACACGTTATTCCATAGTGCCTAGAGAAACAGATGTTCGACTATACAACATAAATTTTTAATTGAAATTAAAATATGGAATTGGGATATGTGTAACTTCAACTAAAATCCGTACAAAGATGAGAATAAGAGGCCCTTCGAATCTCAAGAAATGTATCGTTCCAATTTTCCTGAGAAATTACACTAGTCTCTCCAGTTGCTGTAGTTTTTGTGTTAATAAGTACACGCTTGTAGTTTCTATAAAAATATTTCAGTCACCTTAAGTGTCTAGTAGCTCTAGTGTCAATAAATACACGCTTGTAGTTTTTATAAAAATATTTCAAACAGCCTAAGTATCTGGTAGTTCTAGTGTCAGCAAATAAACGCTTGTAGTTTCCACAAAAATATTTCAGTCAACTTAAGTATCTAGTAGCTCTAGTGTCAATAAATACACCCTTGTAGTTTCTATACAAATATTTCAGTCAGCTTAAGCATCTGATACTTCTAGTGTTAACAAGTACACGCATGTAGTTTCTATAAAACTATTTCAAACAGGCAGTTTCAGTGTTAATAACGGTCTTAGCGATAAGGACGCGTCGGTGACCAAGTAATTAGGAGCGAGCGACGACAGCTCGTCAGTTAATTAACCGGCGTCGAAAAACGACTTGATTTGTTGGTCGGCGAGGAGAACGACGAGCGGGAGGAGAGAGCGTTCCTCTCGCGTGCGCTCGCACGGGGGCGTGGTTGCTTTTGCGTTTCTTGTGCGATCCGCGGCTCCGTGCAGGCGGTCGGCCAAGTGAACGCGGCCCGCGGGGCCATTAGCATCTACCGCGGCCGGGAAATGAACGTTCTCGGGTTCCTGAAAGGATCAAAATTAGAATGAAGTACGGGGACGCGGAAAAATATGGGAGAGCGCTTACCCGCAACGAAAATACACGCCGGCCGAGGGAAAAAGGACACTGGGGAGGATCGCTCGCTCGGCCTTTCGTGGCGGCCGCTGCATTGTTGCTGCGAGATTCCTGCATTGTCTTCTGCGAGTTGTCGTCTGGAGGCTTCAAGCCTTACAATGAATCCTGCATGGGTCTTCTGAGACTTCTTAGCACTGGAACTGCCGAAGGTGTCAAAAGATCTTTTAAAATTATTTTCTGAGTCTAATTTTTCCTCAATGGAATTTTGGACATTTTCTATACTTCATTGTATAATCGTTATTGGGAATAAATTGAAATTGTATCTTAAAATTATTTTCTTAGTCTAATCATTTTACCTCAATAGAATTTTGACATTTTTCTATGGAAACTCCAACAGTGCTACTATTGAGATTTCTATTGATTTACAATTCAGTTTGCCTATCGTTGAATCAATTTCTGTAATAATTTCTCAGAGAAATATCTATTACATTCTTAATCATAGTAAAAAGAAGCAGTCAAGAATGTGTCGTTTTGACCTCTCTGGTAGTTCTAGTGTCAAGTTACAAGGGTTCAAGTGTAAAACTCTGCAAGTAAAAAAGTATGTTTACTTTTCCACCGGTTATATAAGGTACAGATACGCTAGAAAAAAATCACTTACGGAAGGCGAAAGTAGAAGCCTCAGACTTTATAATGAGTCCAGGTGAAATGTTCTACGACCTTTTATTAGAAAGTTACAGGAACTCGAAGATCTCTAATGTATCTGTCACAGTGTACTAATTCTTTTACATTGAAACTCTAGAACAAATTAAATTCTCAACCCTTAGATTCTTCTTTTGCAATTACTAACATGTTTCTCTGAGAAATGATTAAATTCATCTGGTAACACGCAAACTGAATACTTCATTATTAATCCAGATCAAATCCAAAGGCTGCACCTAGATCTCAGGATTCCTTGGCGACACTGATGTGAACCCCTAAAAGGTGGTTCATGATTGTGCATAATTGCCACGCGGTGAGCGCACAATTTGTATTCCGTCGAGTTCTCTTCTCGGCTGTTATAACTCTCGCTACAACACCGAATTCTAAAATTGTTCGCGTCAAAGTAATTTACCACAGTATCTGGCTCTCTATAAATGTACAGGCTGCGGCCTGTTGCACAATGAAATACAAACTCATAATATCGGTGGATCGCCGGGCGAGTTCGTGGATTCGCGTTTTACTGTGCGAGGAGAGGACCGTTTGTAAATGAACGTTTATGGGTTCTAGGGGAAGCACGGTTCCCGGAGATCCTTGGGATGCTGAGCTCTAAACGTTGGAACGCTGGAGTGAACGGATGCACCATTAACGCTAGAACTACCAGACTTATTTCTGATTTCGTTTACTATTACTGAGAAGATGGAGAGGCTTCTTGGAAGATGATTAACGAAACTAATTCTGTAATAGCAAAACTGAAGTACAACTCAACTGAAGTCTTAATATGTAAAAAGTTTAAGTGATCAGTAGTTCTAGTGTTAAATAAATGAGACTTACTATCAATATACTATAAAATATAAACAGAATCATCGTTCTATCATCCTTCAATCTTTTTGCTGTTGTACAAAAGTGTCTGATATCACAATAAAGGTAATAAATATCAAACTGTACAGTCATCAGAATAATTCAGTCACTCGAATCACTTCAGCTTCCAAGAATTCTGTATAAACAAAGTCCTACTTTACTGTCCTCAATCCTCCCAGTTGAATCATCTGTCTCCAACAGAAATCTGTTCATTTCCTATAATCTCATCTCGAATAGTCAGTTCAGAATACACGACCGAACTCAGAAAACAATTTTAACTTAAACATTCCAAAGCTGTCTCCTGATACCTACAGAAATCCTGTTAAAAGATAAAGAGCCGCTAAAGAATGTTCAAGGAAGCGTAGCATAAAGATTGCAAACCACTCTAAATAGAAAGACAAAAGTCGCCGTATTCGGGTAACGTGGCAATCAAAATGTTCAGTGGAAATTTCACTCGAAGACAACACGTTGGCGATATGGAAATAATTGCGGAAATGAATAACACTCAGTTCCGTTAAATTAATCTAGAAATCTTCATCGTTAACACTAGAACTACCAGTCAAAATGACTGGTTTTCTTTTTGTTTCGCAATGATTATGTCTTGAAAATAAATAACTTCATTCGAATACTATAATGAATGTCAACAAATGACAATAATCTACTGTTACAATTTTTATACGCATTACACATTAATCGTATTAAATGCTCGGTAGTTCTACTGTTAAATCATCATCAAATCATTGTATGGGGTTAACCCTTAGCAGTACTATGTCATTCAATTTTATTGCAACCTCTACCTGTTTTAACAATTTCTTCTATATTTATCTGTAATATTTATCTGTACCTGTAATGGTACAATTGTACCATTTAAAGGTAACATTTCAATGACTCAAAGTGAGAAACCAGAGCACTTCAGACCGCAAAGGGTTAATGACACAACTAGAGAAATGGAATTACAGTAGACCAGAGTCCCTTCTAATGAATCTATCATAGAACGATGTCAGTAGAATATTTCATAGATTTAACCGTATCGTCTGCATTCTACGTTGCCCCTTAGAGTTCCCATACCGAAGGATCTACCTAGCCTACCATTCAGAAAGTCGCCACGGTCGAGTCCTCGCAAAAGAAAGAGCAAGGGTGTCACGGCTAAGATAGAGGGCACCGTACGGAGCCGGCGAAAGCGAATAATCGGTTTCCGGCGGGTTCGGTGACTGTGTCACGGTGACACACCTGAGAGAGGCCCCTTCTCTCCGGCGCGGAGGAGCGAGCGGTCCTCTCCTGTCCTTCCCTTCGGCGGGGTACTCTAAACTTAGCCGGCCGAACTCGCGTAGTCTCGCGGCGGTCTCAGTGCGGAACCACCATCCTCTCGAGCCACTTTCACCTCGTCACGACGCGTGCGGATCCGCTTCTCGGCTTACGTTAGGGTAGTTAATCGAGAGTAGCTGCTCGACGATCCTCGTGGTTGCCACATCGTCCTGAAGGAGAAGCTGAAAGGAGGAACAGAGGGAGAACAAGGAAGAGCAAAAGAGAATCGATCGGTGCAGGGTGTTCAAGGAGTACCTCGGAGGGATGGCCTACAGCTGGGACAATCGGGTCGATTTCATTGTAAGGTTTCTCTACGGTTAGTAGATCCTCCCGGTTAGCTTAGGCGTGCGACCACGCAAATATAACACTGCTGCTGCTTGGGTGTCCGCGTGTATTTTGCCTGGCAACCCTCTTTGATCCGCGGGCCTCTCTCGTTCCCGCTGAGCCGTCCCGGAGCTGATGTGAGTAGCTCGCTGAAGTGACCCCTTTTCGCCTCGGTTGTTTTTCTCGTGGAAGCTGAAAGCATCGTAGGTTGTCCCAAAAGTTTCGGTTTACTGGTATATGCATTTTTGTCACGTAACGATCTACCTTAGAGTCTTCTTTCTGCGACAGCAGTTTTTCCACTGGCGAACGAAAGCGATTATAAGAGAAACTTATGGGGCAGTTTTATGATTTGTGCTTTGGTGTAGTTTAGGTACCTGCTGGAAATTAGTGGCGATCCTTTGAACGAAGTTTCAGAGCAATTTAGTGACAATCCTTTGAGCAAAGCTTCAGAGCAACTCATTAGTGACAATCCTTTGAGCCAACTTTCAGAGCAACTTAGTGACAATCCTTTGAGCAAAGTTTCAAAGCAACTTAGTGACAATCCTTTGAGCAAAGTTTTAGAGCAACTTAGTGACAATCCTTTAAACAAACTTTCAGAACTTAGTACCAATCCTTTGAGCAGAGTTGCCGTGCTAGAGTGAATGAGAAGCTTCGGGAACACGCAGCACGCGTGTCTCTAGGGAAAAGGTCCTTGATGCTCTTGTTTGCCAGTGTTATTTAGGATCTAGGTTGACTCGAGATGCTGCGCTAGACTGAACGGTAGAATTAGGGACAAGAGTCAGAGCAGTGAACACCTACCTGGCCACGAGGATGACACCCTTGCTCTCGAGAGGGTGTCACGCTTGTTTAGGATTTAGGTTGACTTCGAACCGTCGCAGCGTCCGCAATTGGTCGCAGCCAAATTTAACCCACTGCCGCACACTAGTTTTCAAATCGCGCTCAGAAACGCAGTTTTCTTTGTTTGTTTTGACTCGTTCGAGTCACGAAGAATCGTGAGAAAATATATTGCGTGGTATCTAGATTGTCACTAGTGAATAAACAAATAAATGTGAAATGGACGGCTATTTAAGCTTGCGACTCGTTTTATGGCTCAGCTTTTCCCATCGTCTCTGGAATGTCCAGGTTTCGATGGACGAACCGGTTCAGTAATTAATATTCTTATTAATTCTGTAGTAGCTTGAGTGCAGCGCGAATTGCGTGAACGCGAGGTAACATGCCAGTATCTCATTAACACTAGAACTACCGTCGACACGAGCAATTCCTAATTTCTTTTCAATTACTGTCAAGGTAGACACTTTAACAGATTTACATTTATTGTAGTTTACTCTATTGTTCCCAGAGAGATTTATCGTTTAGATCTAGGAAATGAAATGTTTAAAGATGTATTATTAGGAACTGTAATCAGGTAATTGAATCAGTCAAAATTTACATTTATTGTAGATTATTCTATCGTTCCCAGAAAGATTGATCGTTTATATCTAAGAATTAATTTAGACCTGAAATATTTGAAGATTTTAGGAATTATAATCACGTAATTGAATCAGTCAGAATCGAGCGAATATTTACCAAATAATGTTTACTAAATTCAATATGAAATTCATATCAAATTGCCTCGTTCCGTAGATCTAGTGTTAATATAGCCAAAGCTTCCTCATTAACAACTGCAATGGAATTGCATAGAATAAATCTCCCAGTAACATTGCAATTACCATCTAACGAACGTCTGAAGCTGATTTAGGAGTACCTAAACTGAAACACAAGCCAGTTGGAATCTTAATAAATCGACGCTTGTAGCTTTCATAAGGGAATGACGAGAAGACGGTTCAAGTGTTCGGTTAGAAAGTTCTAGCGTTAAAGATGGCGGATCGGAGCGTCTCCGTAGAGTAAGTAAAGGATCAAGGTAGCCTCAAGGGCGACATGTGAGACGGGATTCCGCCGTGATTGACTCTCAGCGCGTCGAAAATACTATTTCAAACGGATTGATGCGCAGGGGTCGTGTACTTGGTAACGAGCGGCGAATTCTGCCAGAAACCGAAACACTTGGAGCTGGTCCAGACACGGCGGAACCCTCGTTAGACCGCAAATTGCTGCGAATCGATCGATTAACGTTACGACTACACCGGATTCCTCGGGATTCGAAGCGTCTCTTATCGGTAGATTGATGATCTTTATGGAAACTCGAACTTTTAACCCCTTGACGTATTATTTAGTTATAGACTATCGACAATTTGCAAGAAATGTGACAAAATTGTCTGTTCTACTTTAACAGTGACTGGCAATAATCGAAACTCCCAAAACGATTCTCTTAATAATCAAAAACTAGAGGCAAGATTCTTCGTAACGACTTTACTACTTTCCTTGTATCTCAAACATTCAGTAAACTTCGTTCGATACGTTACTGAAAAAATTTCAAAAAAAACTTCAAGATTACGTTAAAAATAGTGTCACCATTGACGCGGCAGTCAAAGTGTTAAGTGGGAATTTCATTTGAAATACGTTGGTAACAGCAAAATATTGTAATAGCAAACATTAAGTTTTCAATTAACCCTTTGCACTCGAGAGGTGACTCTCAGTCACTTGATTTGATTTGCAGAATTATAAAGTGTTATATATAATATTAAGCTTTATACGATGCATCAATATATGGAATATTGAAATAATATAACTTTCCTTCTTAATTTATACATGTTTCCTCGTTAATTAGTTTCAAAGAACATCGTATGTATCTCATCGAAAAATATTAAATATTTCTAGTGAAAAACTTTTGAGTGCAAAGGGTTAATCTAGAATTCTTCGTCGCGAGTCTCGCTCGTTATCGTAAAGAGTTAAAGATGTAACTAGAGAAACGGGATTATAATAGACTGGATCTCTAACGCATCATTACAGGAAATGATGTAAGTGGAATATTTAATAGGTCCGTTCGCATCGCGTGCATTCCATGCAATGTTGCACCTTCGAGTTCCCATATTGCATAAAGATATGCAGATCCGCTATCTACTCGCCTGCTTATCGAGTTGATTATCAGAAAGTTAATCTACATTTCTTCTGCGTTGTGTTTAGACACGGACAACAATGGCATGGTGGAGAAACACGATTTCGAGTGCATGGCGCTCAAGATGACCCTGATCGAGGGCAAGGGGGAGTTCAGCTACAACCGGTACCAGGAGAACCTCCACATCATGCTGTCCTTGTGGGACGAGATCGCAGAACTCGCTGACTTTAACAAGGTGATAAACACGTTTCTAGCTGCTGACAGCGTTTAGCGCTTTGACTGTCAAGTGAACGCTTGTCGAAACTCCCATGCAATTGGAAGTTTCCTTAACCAATGAGAACTAATGAACTAATGAGAAATATATGAATTAAGAAGCACAGCTGTTTTATAGAAATATTTCACGTATTTATGTATTGTACGAAACTTATTATTATAACTTTGTAATTTTGTTATATGGAATTAAATGACTGAGTCACTTCTTGAGTGCAGAAACTAGAATCGAGATTCTTCGTAACGATTACTCTATTTTCAATGAAACTCAGTTCGATACGTTACCAAGAAAATGAATGTTCAAGATTGACTGCCACGAGAATTTCGAACGTTTCGTGTAACGATACACATTTTTTCATGATAAATGGCATTAGAAATAATGATTAATGACTTGGCATCACAGTACAGTTAACATTTATGTTACTATTTTTATTCGACAAGTCTTCTTGTTCTATTTGTATTCAAGCAATTTTGAAGCTCCGGTCACCGGTGACCATCAGTTAAACTGTTAACAAAAATGCTGGAAGATCCACGAGCCTGATTTCTATAAGAGAGAAATGTCTGTGTACGATTTGACAACGAGGTCTTTTGTTCAGGACGGTATAGTGACCATCCAAGAGTTCAAAGACGCCGTGCAGAGGAGCTGCGTGGGACGACAATACAGGGACTTCCCACAGGCAATGAAGATGTTCATCGACAGCCACTTCAAACTGGTGGATATGAACGGTACGCGAGAAATCTCAATGATCCATTGTCTGGCCTGTTCCCGAAAAATCCACCAATTCAGCAGTCCTCAACCTTTCCCCCTTTCTGCAGTTTTTGAACTTTCAACCTTGAGTTGATACAGCAAAACATGACGCTTAAATTACAGTTGATTTGACACAGCGAAACTGGAGTTTAATATTCAATGTCAAACTTTAACGTTCTATCAAAATAGAATAGTTTTGTTCTTTGATTTATGTACAAGTTATCGTTTAGTTTAAGAGACCGTCGTAGAATATTTGTTAAATTTGATATAATTTCGCATGCGATAGGTTGAGAACCACTGCCCTAATCTGCTGTGTTTATTTAGACGACGGAGTGATCGCTGCGGACGAGTTCCGGTACAACTGCGTCACCAGGATCCCCGTGGACAACGTGAACCTTCTGGACGAATGTTACCAGCACTTGCTCAACGTAAGCAGAACAAACTTTCAAAGCTTTGGGTGACGGATTCGAAGCTCGCGCAATCCTACCACCATCTAACTATGCAACCTTTCCTCCGCGTCTATAGATAGAGTTACATCTGACCTTCCTATCACAAGAACTTTCGAGTAAATTGGGTTCAAGTGAAAGAACTCTCCGCCTCGCCTTTAGCTAGTACGACTCGAGTTCTTTCATTCCCTAATTCAATGATCAGCACAATAGTACAGAAATAAACATAATTCAACCTTAAGCAAGTTCAATGATTACAACTTGTAACAAGATGAATGATTATAAGATCAATGGATTAGAGTATTTAACTTCCTTTAGCTAAGAGAACTCCAGTTCTTTCATCCCCTAATTCTATGATGACAGAAATGAACTGATATAATTCAACCTTGATCAAGTTCAACGATTAAACCTTGTAACAATGTGAATAATTCTAAACTCAATGGATCAGAGTATTTAGCTTCTTTGTAATCATTCATACAGTGATTAACTCCAGAAAAAGAGTAGAAAAATTTATAAAATTACACGCGTGAACCAATCAAGCGTTTTGGTCATTTGAAAGTATTCCAGAACTGGAGTTAGCAACTTTCACCTATGAACGATTCCACGATAACGGAGAGATGACGCTTCAAGATTGAATTCCACGTGTGTACTTCGGTCACTCTAGTTTCAAGCGCAACGCGGCAAACAGGAGACCGTAGACAGTCGGTTGTGCGGTGTCACGGAACCATTCACGAGGCGCGGGCGGAGAGAGAAACGGCGGAACGAACGCGCGACAGTGACCGTACTAATTCTGCGCGTTCGACGCGTTCGGAAACAATGGTTTGACGGTCTGCCAACTGTTGTGCCTCGCGTCGGGCACGGGACACACCGGCCCCAAGCAACTAAAAATGTTTATGGACCGCGGTGCCATTTAAGAGACCGCGTTTAATATAAACCGCACGATATACGAACAATGTACACGTTGTGTGTCCACGGACAGACCAGAATTCCGGATTCAGGGAACTTTTAACCCCTTGCATTACGATTGGTTTCTTAACTATGATCTATACGACTATTTTGTTATGAATAATTTATTGAGAATAGATTTGAAGGCATATTCTATATCAATCTTTGCTTCAAAGTATAATAATTGATAATAGAAGAATAATATTAAATTTGAATTCATAGGGATCAAATGATGTTCATGCTTGTTCCATTCTATTTAAAATCTAGGCTTCTGACACTTCATTGTAAAGCAAGGGGTTAACCCTTTGAGGTCATATGTACTGATAAAATGAAGTTTTGGGACTTAACACTAGAACTACCAAGCAGCCAAGTTGACTTTTCAAAACCGTATAGAAACCCCAAAAGAGCATCTATTAAGACTCCCATCACTCAAAACTTGGTTTGCATATTGCTAAAACAATTTCTTCAATAATTCCTTAGACAAGGATCTATTTTTCCAATAATAGTAAAATAAAAGTTTAGAAATGGGTCAATTTGACCCACCTGTTAGTTCTACTGTTAATATATCATACGAAAGTACCATTTCATGCTTTCCAAGGGTCGAACCGATTCCGCGTCGAATGAAATAATGTCGCAGAGTGAAAAATCGAGAACACTCCGGACGACAAAGTGTTAAACTGAATATCCATTTTCACGATCTTGTTTCTGTTCGCAGGACGACGACAGGAGGCGCGGTGGCCTGACCCTGTCCCGCTACCAAGAACTGTACGCGCAATTCCTGGGTAATCCTGACGAGAACTGCCCCGCTGTCCACCTGTTCGGCCCCCTGCACGTGATGGGTTGACGGGAAGCGACGTTTCCCCCGGGCGAGAATCCCTCGTGTGCATGTACAAAAAGACAACTCTCCTATTTAATATAATTGTTATTTAATATCTGTAAGACGCCGCAATAAATCGCATATTTTATCGTACAAGGGGACCTTATTGTAATACCCACCGGATCTCTTTATCTCATACACACCACCCAACGCCAGATTAATTCTCCTTTCTCGCTGCTAGCACAATGCACGCGCTCCGGTGTCTCCTTAAGAATGAATGTGTCCGAAGGTGTTTAACACGTTGGATGCCATGGGGTCACCGGTGACCTCAGCCAAATCGAATTCATTCGATTAAACTCGAAAACTTTTCTACGTTACAATAGCACCTAATGCGGTGAGACATTCAAGACCTGCAATAATAACACAATTCAATTACATAAGTTAACGTTACATTCTCAATTTTGTACATTTTCCTCGGCGAAACGGTGCGGCACTCAACGTGTTAACGATTGAAAAATTAACGAATGATCGACATAAACGACGGACCAGAGTCTCCGTGTTGGCAGGCTCGTACGAAAGCGCTGAGCTATACGACACTAGCGCGCAAGCGGGGCACGACACCTGAAAATAGTAAAAAGTTCATGACCTCTGGTTACACGCGGAGGATGAGTGTACACGTCGAACGGTGAATTACGCCGGGCATCTAGCGTTGCCGTGGACGAGATAATAAACGAGATATAGGTGGGTATTATCTCTCTCGCAGTAAGATCCTCTTGGCAGAACGACACCGTTTCCGTTGAAACGGAATCGCGAGCGAGGTTTGGCAACAGGAACATGCTCTCTCGGGAACACGCGACCCGTCCCGCTTTCATCGTTGCGCCAGAATATAACAACAATACCGGGGAGAGACGAAAGACATTTG